ATTTAATTAAATAATAATAAATCAACTCATTTTATAAAATAATAATTATTTTTTAAATAAAAATAAAAACATTATATATATATATATATATTATAAATTAATTTAAAAAAGAATTCATTTATTCTAAAAATAAATATTAAAATAAATTTTTAATAATGGTTTGTTTAAATATATAATAATTAAAATTAATTATTATTTTACATTAATTAATTATTAAAAAATAATATTTTAATTTTTATTTTAAAATTTAGTAAAATTATTTTCTAATAATATATATATTAAATTATTATATATTAAATAAAGTTAATGTTATAAATATAATTTAAAATTTAAAAATATCTTTTTATTTTTAGTTTTTATTTAAATATTTTTTAATTAATTATTTTGGTATGAATTACATTAATAATTATTTTTTAACCAGACTAAAATTAATTTATTAGTTTGTTCACTTAGTATAGAGTCAAATTAGACTAAAAAATATAGTTTATTTTTAAATATAGGTTAGTTATTAATTTTTTTACTTATTTCATAGAATCAAATCAAATTAGATGGGGTTACCATTTTGATAGTCCTCTCTGTAGGTCATGCCAAGTGTTTTATTGTGGTTGTTAAAAATACTTTTCCTCCATTTATGTTTGTTATATTTTGACTTTTTTACGTCAAATATAAATTCGACGCTAATTCGAGATATGTAAATTTACATCGAACATAAAAATCGACATAAATTTATGTTAATTATATGGATAACTAATACTAAATTATGTCAAAAAAAAAGGAAACAAATATAAAAAAGTTTCAAAAATTTAAAAATAAGACAAAATTTACGGGTATATCAATATCCGACTTAAATTTAAGTTAAGTATTAACACGTAGTTTTATCCTTTTTTTTAATATTCAGTTTGTTTTGTCTTGTAACCAAAACTTGCAAACATATTTTAATCACATACAGTTTAGATTCAAGATTTTCAATAAACAATCATTCAAAATACAATAATACAAAATATTACACACTAGTACAAAAATCACTTTTAACATCGGTTCTTAAAGAACCGATGTAGAAAGTGAATTCAAGACTTTCAACATCGGTTCATCAGGGAACCGATGTAGAAAACACTTTCTACATCGGTAACCGATGTAGAAAGTCTTTTATAAAATTAAGAGAATTGTCATCGACAAGATTCGAACCCGAGTACCTTAGAGTCGAAGGTCGATATTCAAACCACTAAGCTACTAGGATTTTCTAATAATAACTTATACATAAATTATATTTATATACAAATAAAAATGTATATCCTTGTAAATATATAAATATAAAATATATAAATACAAATACAAATATATTTATATACGCGCTCGAGAGTGAAAGTGTGTGACAAGTGGGTTTTCAAAATTTGATGTTAAATTTGTGAATGAGTCTCTTTATATGAATTTGTAATTTAATAATAGAATAAAATCTTTATAATTTATTTATAATAATATAGAATATAATCTTTATAATTAATTTATATAATGATATAAAATAAAGAAAAAAAAATATTTTATATCATTATATAAATTAATTATAAAGATTATATTTTGTCATTAAGTTATAATCCATATAAAGATACTCGCTCACAAATTTGACATTAAATTTTGAAAATTCACTCGACACACACTTTCATCCTCGAAGCGCCCTCACATCCAACATATAAATATATAAATATATTTGTATCTGTATTTATATATTTTATATTTATATATTTACATAGATATACATTTTTATTTGTATATAAATATAATTTATGTATAAGTTATTATCGGAAAATCCTAGTAGCTTAGTGGTTGGAGTATCGACCTTCGACTCTAAGGTACTTGGGTTCGAATCTTGCCAGTGACAATTCTCTTAATCTGATAATAATTCAAATTCTTAAAAAATATAAAAAATATAATAAATAATAAAAATATAATATAAAAGGGAGAAGAGACCTACCTATCAATGGATAGGGTAATTGGAGAGGGTTATGAATAAATAAAAATATATAAATAAATAAAAATATTAGACTTTCTACATCGGTTCCTTACAACCGATGTGGAAAGTCACATTTTCTACATCGGTTCTAGAACCGATGTTAAAAGCTTATTTTGTACTAGTGACAATACAATATAATACAAACTATAAAAGTTAAACTAGTACAAAAACTAAACTTCCTAAAGGCTAAACTAATATAAAAACTGAACTACCTAAATGTTAAACTACATAATACAACACAATGCAATACAATAATATAATACAAACAATAACCTATAAAATAAGTACTAGAAATGTTGAATAAAAAGATGAATTTTGAAATACATAAAACATTAAGTTGACTCATGTTAATATGCAACACGCATAAAGGTAAATCAACTTAACAAATGTTGAAAACAATTACTTTCATCTAAGAATAAGTTATACCCGCACAAACTATGACTCTCATTGTGCTTTTATTTCATCTTTTGTCATTCCTTTTTATTTTAAACAATGTCCCAATTATATTACCTCAAAGATTTTTTTTTTCCAATATATATCACATTTATACAATGTCTACCTTCTAACTTATAATAATAAGGAATATTGAAGAATATAAGTTGTTTCTTGGAAATATTTTTTTCATTGAACTTTTTTTTGCATCTTTCCGGATACAATATTAATGTTTTCACATGCTCATATACTTGTTCACATTACGCGGTACCAATGTAACGTTATTCTCTTAATATCCATTAAATATTTTCTTCATTTAATGGTATGAATGATTAACAACTAGGAACTTTCGATGCCTAGTGTACACAGTCTTTTGTCCATGTTTCAATTAAATATAACTTGTGTCTCCTTGACATAACGGACACACATAATGACCCTTCACAATATAACCGCTGAAATTACCATATGCTAGAAAATCATTTATTGTGTAAAATAACATTGCACGCAAATTAAAATTAATTTCACGATATGCATTAAAGACCTTCACTCATTTTTCCCATAACATCTTCAAATCATCAATCAAATGACTAAGATATACATCTATGTCATTTCCTGGTTGTCGAGGTTCTGGAATTATCATAGACAATATAATATATTTTCTCTTCATGCATAACCAAGGAGGCAAGTTGTAAATAATAAACAAAACTGGTCATGAACTATGTTTATTACTTAAATTCCTATAATGTCATTTGTAGCTAATCCAATGCTCAAGTTTTTTGACTTCGCACCAAATTTCAGCAATGTTTCATCAATCTTCTTCCATTGTTGATAATCTTGTAAAACTGCATCTGGGTACAATTGTCACTCAAAATCAGATTTCAAAGAATCATCCATGTGTTTTCTAAAAAAATTTCTTTACCAATGTCACATATCATATTCTCTAAATTATCATCCATATATTTTTCAAAATTTTATATTATTGACATAATTAGAATGTCTAATATTTCTGGATGTCATGTCCATATTTATAACTCTTAACAATATCATGAACAAACAAGTAATCACATATATCTCCAAGTTCATGACGAATTTGATTCAAACAACGAGCGCATGAACAATAATATGTCCATTTGATAGGTTTTCCATTTTTATGAACAAATTTCAAAAATTTATGAACTCCCTTTTTGTATTCTTCACTAATACGACATGCATTCATCTAATTTTGATTCATACTTATCTATGTTATAATATTTTGTCGCTCCTACATATTCAAACACATATTTATATTAAAAAAAGGTTTAATATAAAAATAATAAAAACATGAGATTCAAACAACTAAATGTTGAGAACATTAAAATGTAGTATATAAACCGTAAATGCACTCAAACAAATAAACGGATAATCACAAACTATAACAATTCAATTTCAATAACAATACAATAGAGATATTCATGCAATAATGTAAGTGAGATTCTCATAAACAATCACATATTCAATTTAAACATAAAAGAGAAGACATATAACACTAACCTCACAGATACAAAAAATACTCTAAAACTCAAATCTAATTAGAGAGAAGCACTAATCACCACAAATGGGATACAACGTAGGATGTTGCCGCTCACCGTAAGCAAAATATACCCTAAAAGAAGTTGAGATAATTGTTGTCGTTATCGTCACTCAAAACCTTATACACACAAGAAAAAATAAACTCTCAATACAAATAAAATAAAAATAAAATTTGAATTTTACTTTGAATATCACAGAAGCTGATATAAAAGTTAATCCTTATTTAAAAAAAATATTATCACATTTTTTTTAAATCAAATATATTTTAATCCAACTAAAATTGATGACATAAAAAACTTTTTTTACACTAATGCTTCCATGTTCATCATTCCACGACACTAACCTTAGTTATAAAAAAAAACGATGTAGAATGTCCGCATTACTTATGTTAATTTTTTTCATTTTCACGGTCTGCTATTGCTTTATATATATATATATATATATATATATATATATATATATATATATATATATATATATATATATATATATATATATATATATATATTGTAAAACTGATGTTTATGTTATTATTGTAGTAAGGTATTAAATATTGGTGTGCACGGCTCACGGATTTAATCATTTTCGAAAAAAAAGATGTACACAATAAAGAAAAACTAACGTCTGAGAAAACAAAACACGTAGGAAAGTAGTAAATTTTGTCATAATCACGAAATAATATGTCCACCTACAAACTTTTAATTACCATAATCTCCCCTGTGGATTGCAAGCTGCAATGCATCAGAAGTAAACCACACTTACTGAAAGGACAAAGCAAATCTCTTCCCACTCACCTTTCCTAAGTAACTCCCACACTAATATGATATCATTTATGATAAAATGAAAAGGAAACTTGAATATCTAATTCCCTCCCTTCTTTTAAACATAAAAATAAAATATAGGTAAAAAAGTAAGGTAAATAAATTTAGTATGCAAATATCACTAACAATTCATGCACAATATGCAACTTGCGACTCTTTAGGGTTCAAATTTACACCCTCTTCGGTATTTGATTGTTAATAATTTCTTGGATAAGCAAAGTGATGTCAAGATGAGAAGACCCTCCTTCTTCAACAGCTATCTTTGCCATCTCACTCAGTTTGCTTACCCTTTCTCTTCTCTCTTTGCCCTCTTCTCCACCGTCATCCATCACCATCCATATTGCCCTCTTAATATCATCCTTCTTCACCAACACACCTCTCCTCTCTTCGTCTCCCCACTGCACTGGAACCTCTACCCCAACGCTCACACCAATCTTCAACACTTGAGTAACCAGTTTCTCATTTAAAAATTGATCACCAAATAGAGGCCAGGTAACCAGTGGCAGTCCAGCACTTATCCCTTCAAGAGTTGAATTCCAACCACAGTGTGTAAAGAATCCTCCGATGGAAGGGTGTGATAGTATTATTACTTGTGGAGCCCAACCTCGAATTATAAGGCTTCTCCCTTTCATCCTTTCCTCAAACCCTTCTTCACAGATCCACTTTTCCAGTTCTTGGAACTGACCTCCCTCCCTAATAGCCCATAAAAATGGTCTTTTAGTATCTTCCAAGGCCAAGGCCAACTCCACAAGTTGTGAAGAAATCAAGTTGCATACGCTTCCAAAACAAACATAGACCACAGACTTGGGTTGCTGCAAATCTAGCCACTTCAACCAACGGTGCTCATTAATTGAGGCCTGGTTACCTCTTTGAGCCTTATCCAAAGCATCTTTGTTACATAATGAAACTGGGCCAACGCACCAAAGCTTATCGTTTCTCACCTTCTTGTAATCCCTCACATATGCTTTCTCCAACTCTTCAAAAGTATTTACGATTACCCCATATGACTTCATTTCAGCATCGCGCATCTGCTCCCTTAAGCCATTGATGTCTTCTTTATTTGATTTTGAGATCCTTAGAGGTATCTGTTCTTTGGTAACTTGAATATGGTCAGGTATGTCAGGAATAGAGAAGTACTCAGATTCTGAAGAGATGCTTTCATAAACCTTTGATGTGTGTGCCATATGCAGGCAGTGTTGGCAGAAGCAAGAAAATCCGTTGAACGAAATCCTTGGAATATGATACTTTTCAGCTATTTGTGCGGTCCAAGTAATGCAGAAGTCAGAGATTATGCAACTTGGTCTGGGTGTTAGAGCTTCAAACAATTCCTCCGCTGGCTTTTGGAGCAAGTTGATGGCGGTGAAGACTTTAATAATCATATTTCTTGAAGGGAGCATGTCGAAACTCTCACACCCTTCAGGTAGTCCTGCATCTTTTGCTGGAAAATGGAGTTGCACAAGCCGGATTTGGAGACCGGATGAAACAGCACGAGAAAGAACATTATGGAAACGTGAAGCATTTTTTGGGGTAGTGAATATGGTAACAATGACACCACACTGTGCCAGTATTCTTGCAATATCAATCATGGGGATCATGTGGCCTTGAGCCATTAGGGGAAACAAGACGAAGTGAAGATTGTCTGTTAACGACCCCATGATTGGCAGAGGCAAATGAAATGAGTCTTTCTAGTGTGGCTTTGGTGTTGCTATTTGCAGTGCTTATTGCCCCACTTTTTATAAAGAGTGCAATAGTTGTGCGGATGATGTAAGAGCAAATGCAATGATTTTCGGATTATCTCAAGCAGGAAGAAACCAGATGAGTGAGTGGCCAAAATCTTCTATAGTTTTAGTTGTCTCTGGGAACCACCTCTTCACTTTCTATCTTATCTTTTATCTTGTAATAATATAATGTAATAAAAAAAGCATCCTTTTCGATGGTTTTATTTTTAAGAATTAACGAAAGGAATAATTTGAAAAAAAAAATCGTATTTAGACAATTTATAATATAAGTACAATATGTCACCATGAAAAAAAAAATTGTACTTCGTAATATAATTTTAATTTAAAAATAATTATGAAGAGGATTTTCAATTTAATAAAAATATATATTCTCTAAATATATATATATATATATATATATATATATATATATATATATATATATATATATATATATATAAAAGTTTGGTGCTAAGAGTTCTACATCATTTGTGTGAGATGTGACTTATATATTTTTTATTTTACTTGTTTTAATTTATTTTAATTTAAAATTTAATATAATAATAAAATTTATTAAACTTATATTTTTAATTATTTATTATAATAGACTCATCTAGTTTGACATACTGGTGGGTGTTGAGAAGTTTATGTCTGATAAAAAAATATTTCTAAAAATTAATTTAAAATATGAAAAACTATTAATTAAAATTTATATTTATTATTATTTATTTTATATACATATTTATAAATAATACAATTTAGTTTGAATTTTTGAATTAAAACATAAGACCTTGTGATATTGTTTGCCTCAATTATTAGAGTACGATTAATATATCTAATAAAAATCACTTCTAATTTTGAATATCTTGAATTCCTCTTCCAGACTTGAAGGATTTATAAACTTAAAGAAGGATTTTTATATACAGGAAACTTAACTAAAATAGAAAAAGAAGGAAACAAATGAAAAATAAAAATCAAATGGACAAGATAATAAAAGAATAATAAGTGCATTGTTGACTTAAAAAAGCTCTCTGAATAAAAACTTAAATTAAAAACATCAAACTTTTAAGACTCTCAATACATAAAACAAATATTTTTGCACATATATTTCTCAAGAGTATAAAATACAATAGAGGAATATATATTATTTATACAATTTATAGAATGAGAAGATATGTTCAAAAAGCTTCTTAGGGTTGGATAAATAGAACAAGTCAACAAAGGAAAATGAACCCATAAACAAAATCTATATATCATGAATGAAAGAGAACTTACAATTTTCTTTTCTCATCTAATTTGTGAGGTATGAAATAGCTTGAATTACTGATAGTTTGCGATAATTTATATTACTTAATCATCTTATTCTAGAACATATTTGTTTCTAGGGAATTTCGATCGATTTCGATTCTAAGGGTATTTTGGTCTTTAATCGAAATCCTCCCACGTAAGCTCTTTTTACTTAGGCTAGCAATTTGATTTTCAATCGAAAACGTGTATGAGAATCGAAAATCACAGGATATCGAAAATGCTCGTTTTTGGTGTTTTGTATTTAAAGTATCGAAAGCATTAAGACTATCGAATCGAAAAAGCAGAATGTTAAATTGCGAGGAAATGTAAAGTGCGAAAACCCCAAACTTGCATTAATTGTAAATAGCAAGAAATCGAAAACAACGCAAATATAAATGACAAGAAATCGAGATTGCAAGAAAAGTAAATGACAGGAAATTGAGATTTGCAGAATGTTAAATAACATGGAAATCTAAATGCAGAAACTCAAATTTTCATTGAATTGAAATGGACAAGGAATCGAAATACAGAAACATAAAACTGCTGAATTTAAGTTGCATCAAAGTAAATTACCAAGGAAAATACAGAAAGCGGTAAGTGTACTCAGTGAGTAAGGAAATCCAGATTGCCAGAAGCTTCATGGTGTTCGTCGTTTCTCCGATAGACTTGTCACTACTGATTCTGTTCTCTGCCAATTTCTCCTCCCCCCCCTTTTTTTTCCTTCCTCCTTTGTTCTATTTATAGGGTATCCTTCAAGCCTTCCAAGAGCAGTTAACACGACTGCTACCACGTTCTATGTGCGTATGGCCGTTTATCTTCTATAGTTTCCCACGTTCTTCACGATCTCCGACTTTTTCCCATGATTTCAAAACTGCTCTTTATACGTGCATTCGACTTACTTCCTTTCACGATTTGGCCAAAGTCTCGATGTCCACGTTGGCTTTCCTTACTCTCGATTCTGTATTTTTCGAGAACTTCGAATTGCTTACGATTCCTTTTTAACCCTGGTCTTACATGACTTAGTTTTTATTCGACAACAGTCATTTGATTATTATTCATTCGATTCTCGATTGTGCTTCTCGATGCTATATGCTATGTATTTCTAATTAGACATCGAATGAATTTTTGTTTATCTTATCGAGTCACATTTCTTTCCTTCGATTTCGATCGCTTTTCTCGATTTGCCACTAACAAAATGCCCCCTTGGAAGAATATAAATGATTTCTGTTTTATATTCTTTCAATATTCCCGCCTTAGTGTTTGAAAGCCCACAGGTTTTAGGGTTTAGGGTTTCTGGGGTTCTGGGGTTAAAAAGGGTTTTAGGTTTCTTTTCCACTTTACGTCGCCGTCTCGTCAGTCTGTTGCCTTTCAGTACAAGTTACATTAATTACCTTTCCTTTCTGTCGCTTCCAACTCCCTAGACAATTTCCCTTTAGTCTTTCCTTGGTCTTTATTCTGGTCTTTACGCGAACTATCACCCTATTTGCAATCTCATCTTCTCCTTTGAACTCATGCCTTCGTCCCTATTACCTCATCCGTTAACTCTTCCCTTTCTGTTTTCCTAAGCTTACTCCAATGGCCACTTCATCCAAGTCATCTGATTTCTCGACTCCCTCTCTTGCCTCATCCGCTGCTACCTTGCTGGAGATTAACAACCAGCGGTTTGCTCCCCTGCCTCTGATGGAGGAAGCTTCCAAAAAGATTGCTGAAACACAGGTATTAGTTCCTTATACTGTTGAGGGGGTTGGTTTTGCTTTTGGGGGCCCCATTCTTTCTGGTAGCGGAACTGTTTCTCCCCTCGCCCTCTCAAACAGCCCTGCTCTTGTACATCAGCCTGAAGTTAGGATCGATTTTCTGAACCTTGTTTCTAAGGTGTATCGGACAGGCCCTCCCTCCAAAAAACCTTTGTTCACTAGATGGTTTGATAGGGTCAAGGCTAAATTCGGGGACCATTGGAAGAACGTGGGGATTTTCGATTTTTTACACTTGTCTCAATGTGACTTGTCCTACTTAGACATGGCTATGTTTTTTGCTGCCGTGCATTTGTGGAATAAGGAAATACATGCGTTGGAATTACCTTGCGGCCCTCTCTCACCTACTCTTTTCGATGTCGCAGCCATCACTGGGTTAAAACCTATAGGGGAGAGATACTTTCAGGGTGCATATCCCTCGGATAATTCATTGAAGTCAAAAATTGATTGGGAATCGAAGGCCTACGGGCATTTTATTGAGAAACATTTTGTTGATGATCCCTCGATAGTCATGTCATCGATGAAGAACATGTAGCATTTTTGGTGTATTGGTCTGTGCACCCATGTGTTTTGCCCCGATCGATCCAAATTTCCCCCATCTATTCAATCTTGCGTATCTCCTTCACTTAGGTCATCCTAGCCTATGTTTGGCCAAATTTTTGTTAGCGCATGTATATACTGCTTTCGACGAGGCTGTCGAGATTTTGAGTACTCCTAAGGCATCGGGGAATTTTTCTGGCCCCGTTTGGTTTATACAGTTATGGTTAACTTCAATTTTTGAGAGCGTCCTTCCTTGATTTTCTACTGTTCCCCCGAGTGTAAATATAGAAGGGGCCCGATTATCCTCTCACCATCCTCGCCATAAGTCTGACGAAACTACCTATTGTAAATACCTTCACTTTTTGTTAACTAGATTCGATTTCGATTCAACCTTGGCCCCTTTTACTGTAAATCTTGGACGAACAAGTGGCCAACTTAGGGGGCCTATTTGGTTTAAGTCAAAGTTTCCTGCTTCAACTCCTGGGTTGCAATTAGAATTGGTCGATATATGGAGTAACTACTTAACCTAGGATATATTAGTATCCGGCTTTCACCCCAAGGATTTCAAGTTTACTACTTACTACCCTCAACTTTTTTCAAGACAATTTGGCCTGAGCCAGTCTTTACCCTTTTTCCCTTTAAATACCTTCCCCAAATCCAAATTGACTGAGTCAAACATCGGCCGAGAGCTTGCCAAATTTTTGCCAAGAACCTCGATGCATCTTTATCCATATGTATTTGAATCGAATTACTTATCGACTGTGGAATTTTCTCAATGGTGGACCAATTGGTTTTCGAGTAATCGTGCTGTTTTTGACGAGGTTCGACAGAAACTAACTGTTCGTCCTTCTCTTGTGTTGCAGGACAAGTCGAAAGGGAAGAAAGGTACACACTTCCACTGTCTCCAAATATCTCGATTCGAGAATTTTTATCAAATATGTTATACTCCACTAAAACTAGAATCGACCTTTTATGATGCTATCATTTCCTTATCCCGAAAAACAGATACCAATAGATCGAACCACAAAATAATTAATCCCTTAGGAAAAACCCCTTTTGAAATATATTGTCCCGATAGCCTTCCCACTTTTCCTACAGCACCTTTTGGACTCGCAAAACCTTTAACTCATCCCAAATGGGTTCGAGAATTGAGAACCCTTAAAGAAACACGTCGCCCAAAACCCAAAAACAAAGACATTTCTGTATCGAAATTGTTTTACTTTCCTTACCTTAACCTCCCTGAGGCTCTCCTGCCTCCTTGGCTAGTACATATTGATCGAGTCAAAATTTTGACTCCATCACCTTTTGGTGAGGTTTTATTGTTTTTTCTCAATTTTCAATTCTGTGTTTTGGAAGCTG